TCGCACTACTTTATGGTCTAGTAGTCATGCGATTTTAGTGCCATATCCGTGTTCTGGGTTTTCGTTACATTTCTCGTTTGATTACCGATGATCTCGACATCCTCCGGGAAGTTATAGTGTTCCACTAGCGTGTATCAAGGCAACACAGTTGGCTTACTCTTTCCCTGCTGGCACAACGTTGGCCATACCTGGTTTTCTATCCAATTTGGACGCCATAAATGCTAGTGTCACAACTACATTTGATCTTGTGTGGTATCCAAGTTGTATGACTCTTCTGTAGTCACATACAAGTACTGCCTGCCCGCGTTTGAATGTGCGTTGCATTGTTCCTTGTCGATGATTGAAGTCTTGTTCCATCTTCTGATCTCTTTACCTCTTGATGACTCTTGGTATGGTCTGAGCTCATCGAATGGCATACGGAGCCTACTGTTCATCAATGCTTCTGCTTGGAACACTCACTTTGGTGCCCGCGGATTTCGCTTGATCCGGTACGGAAAATAAATCTATCTTTTCTTCTGTGCGCCATTTTGATTTGATTAGGGTACGCTCGAACGTGCTCACGGATCTTCCCGCATGGCAATTTGGTTGTAAATTGGACGGCGGTGAGCGAATGTGCTCCATGGCGCAACACTTGCAGATCTCTGTGAACGTGGCGAAGATGAACTGCGTACCCTTGTCCGGCACCAGTATTTCTGGACAGCTAAATCTGCTCAGCCCACTGCGTTCCGCTGAACATTGTTGTGCAGTTGCTTGTACGCCTCCGTCACCCATTGAGCTACGCTGTATGGCATCTTGCAGGTGGCTTGATAGCTAGTTACATCAGAGGTGTGCAGTTACACGTCGATCGATGCCATTTTCGCCCTCTCTTCTTTAGAAAGTATCCAGAATTTGGTGGTGCAGCACAATGACTGAGGTGTTTCTAACATAGTATGTAGAATGGGGATGATGGGATGCCAGTGGAGCTTTTGCTTCAGAACCTTATCATGAATGACAACAGTTTCGAGTAATTTGCTCAGCTGTCGGCGTAGGTCTCGGGCATTACGGATCGTCTCTGGCAAGAAGCTGCTGTCTATAGTATTTAGTTTTCTACCCGTTGCCACATACTACTTGCCCTCCCTATCAAAAGGATGAAAACCCACCAAAATTGCGTTTCACCGTGGTCGTAGACGTCCGATGTGTAGGGTTGCACATGAGGCACAAATAATGCCGATTTTTCCAATTATGCGTGTGGTTAACCTTGAACAAATCCCAGCGAGACTGCAGTTGCATCACCGATGTGGAATCGTTCATTGGATTGTATTATACTCTATCTCGTTTTGGTGTCCTTCAAGCGAATCCCCCTTTGCTCCACCATCCTGTGAAGCAAAGTCATGAGCCAACAACTAGAAATGTACTCTCGGACAGCATTTCCATCTCTGAATGGGCAATCGGAGGGTGTTATTTAATCGCAAGGCATCCTCGCCAATGAATTATTTTTCCCTCTTTCCCTTCTGACTAACTTATCTTCTTTTCATGCTAACCAACAGGATGTTACCTCCATCTCCATCAGTCACATTAAAATAGAGGCCATGTAGTCTTTCTACTCCAGGTTCTATCCCACTTGATCTTTCAATCTCCGCACGCCATTATAGCCGTTAACACTCATCACTGGCTGAGCTTCCAGTTCGCCGGAACTGATGTATACGCTTGGCAGGTACTACGGTCCTGCTTCATCCGCACCTATCAGACTTCTAGTATTCACCATCTCGGGGTAGCTGTCACCAGACGTGCGGGGTTGTTATTCTGGGATTGATCTCGGTAAGCGTCCTCGTATGTGCTACCCAACTTCGATTTTTATAAAAAGCGGCCAAAGACAATGTGCCTTTTTGTTTTCTGACCCCTTTAATTGTAATCCAAAGGCTGTCGAAGAGGAATATTTTAAACACTTTAGTTTTTTGTTCCACCAATCAAAACCCATTTCGTGATCGTTGCGAGTAACATGATTGTCGACGTCCTTCACTTCAAAGGTCGTTTCGCGGTCAATACCTGTCGTACTGGCTGTAACAGCCACTCTTTTTATGTGCGCTGACCACAACGCATGTATCAGCGACACAGCTTTCCAGCACTATGGTGGTCACTGAACGTGAGACTTATCGCGCGCTAGTCAGTCGTTATGTACGCAGACTGCCAACCGTGGGGAAAAGAGATGTTGAACATGTGGACAAGGTGTACGTTTGTTGATACAAATCTGCAATCTCGCGTTACTAGAGTCACCAACAGGAATCTAGCTAATGAAAGTTTAAGGCGTCTCGTGTGGCGTCGCAGGCAGTATACAGTTTCAGCTCGTAAGAGGTGTCGAGATGCATAAGTAACCTGTCTACTTTACGTGGGCATGTATGGCAACCAAAATTTTTGGATATTTGGCACTACCTACTGCACCTATACTGGGGAAGTCTCTAACTCACTATGCAGACCACCACTAAAAGGTAGCCGTGAGCTACACTTTTATCTTCGCGAGAACCATCTATCGCCTACCAATCTTCAGCGAAACCAGGCGGTGAAACCTGATGCATCCACTGTGAGAGCATCAATGCGGATTTACCTTAACAGGCTCCTACCGTGTCCTCCCTGAGGCTACCAAAATAGACAAAACAAGGGAACTGTATTCGGGAGTTTCAGTGACTCTACAGATGATCCTCGTCCGTAGATTCACAATAGGAGATGCGGACCAAACGGGATACATGAGGCGGGTACGAACGAGTAAAAATACTCGGTGCTTACTGGGTGAAATAGTCAGTGCGAACGAAGCGCTTCCTTCTAATTCGCAATAAATTTTCCTCTTTTAGTTCTTTAAAACGTCTGCGGCTCTTTTGTTTCGCTCAGTAAAACAAAAGGAAGATGAGAAGAATTTTGGATTCAAACGCGCTTGTTATTGTATCTTCCATTTCAATGCATCGAACATTTAGCAGTAAAGGCGGTGGTATTGGTTTATTTCGGGGTTGTGTCGATCTGCGATATCTGTGGATTGGCTGCTGACGCGTCTTGCCGTCCGATTCGTGTCGATGGGATCGACAACGTAACATCTTTTTCAACCAAGTTGTCCACTTTGGAGTTAACCACCTTGACGCTCTCTACTCTGACGGCCTCGTGTTCACCTTGGCGCTCGACGATAACAATGTAACCTTTGCGATGAAGAACTTTTTAACGGCCCTTGGTACGGGCGTTCCACTGGTTGACGCAGACCGGTGTGGACAATTGTGCAGATCATGGGCGACGAAAGTCCTTATTCTTCTGTCCCCCGTGTTCGTTTATGTTACACGAAAGCATCTTGGCAGCAAGTTCTCCAGCATATGCGGCGTCGGAGCGACACATGCTGGAAACGCCGGAGAAAAAGTTATCTGATGATCGTAAACGACTTTGGCACTGGATTTTTGAAGATCCATTTTGACCGCTGAGCAAACTCATGCCAACATGCTTGGAAATGACCCTGCTCATTGAAGTACATCGGTAACACTAAGTGACGTCCCAAGCATTCTACGAAGCCGTTCTTCCATTCAATTTGATGGCAGACGGTAGACAGTTTTGTGAATCCAATGACAACCTAGGACTTAACGTATCTACTATTGTGCTGAATTCTATTCGTGGGCTCCTCTCGGTTGTCGCGGGTACAGCCCAACTGTGGATTCCAACCCAATGTTCAACAAATGTTCGAGTTACGGTTTCCTCAGTGACATCTGGAGTCGAGGTGGGCCGTGACCAATGGGTGCAACGACAGATCTTGGCCAAAATGAAGATAATTCCTTTAGACAATATCAAGGTTCCAACTATGTCAAAATGGAAACGCGCGAATTACGTTGAAACTGCTGGAAACTAGGCGAATAGAGCTTTTACTTACTGATGGCGAATGACTAAATAAATGATGCATCCACAGTACGCCTTCACACAGTACCGATGCTTCGCTGCCGCGCAACCACCAACAGTCGCTCGTGGGCTACGGATTCTGCGAGGGTCCCCGGTCCCCTACGCAGACTTTAACCCGCGATCTCCGGATTATAAGACAACCTTGTGATACTTAAGGCCACTGTCCGGCTTTCACTTACTTCCGCACTTTAGCTCACTTGCAAATGGGGGCGTCTGCGTGCCAAACGGTTGAGGTTGCGCTACAGGACAGGCCAGACCTATCTATTTGAAATCAGTTTAATCATAGACAAAATACCTAATTGAACAATTCTATGCAGCGTTCCAAAAACGATGCGTCGGATGAATTCTGGACAGACTCGTCGAGGTCATCCAGCGAATGTGTCATGCAATATCGCTTGACAGTCATCGAGTTGTTGAGCAGCAACCATTACCGACATAGTGATTGTCTACCCTGCGATGCTGACTACAGACACCGTTGACAGAATATCGGTAATGACTTCGTGCTGGTCAGAAATGTGTGGTAGATCAGTAGAGAACCGAGTTGCAGCATCCGGCTGATGAGCCTTACGCTGTGTGTGTTGAGTTGTTTGATTTCGAAGGGCGTATATTTGTGGTTTGTGCTCACTATGGATACTAAAAAGATAACCTTCTTGGACATGCCGGAAATGACGGACGGTGTATTAACGGTAAGCAATTCACAACCGAACGTCTTGTACTTTAGTTCCGTCGGTTGTAAGCTTCTTGTATAAGCGGCTTTTAATTTCTACCGTTAATTTACTGTAAGACGATGCCTATGACACTGTCGGATAGGTCAAGTGACGCTGATTGATAATTTTGTATTGAGTGCTGAAGTATACCATCATCTGTCGCGCTGTTTTTACCGGCCTAGGCGCTCAGTAGCCACAGTAACTAATCCAAGTTACTATTTTAACATCATCTATAGATTGATTACTTTCTTGCTCCCTATCGACCCTAGTTCATAAAATTATACCCAGTTAAGCGTTTTCCTTCCGAATGCTTGCTAACGAGCGTGCTGAGTACATTGTTAAATGTTTGCCCGTTTGTATTTGTTCTCAGATTTATAGGACTGTTGAATCTTAATGCGGAGAAGACTTCTGACACTTCTTAATTCTTTCATGCTTGGTGCCGGCGTGCGATGCATGTCCAGAGAAAGTAGGATGCTCGACCTACCGAAGACTCATGGTATTGATGTGCTCCGAGATCCAAGTACCAACAAAGTAAGGTATTATGTTTTTGCATCTACGCAAAACAGTGCCATACTCCTCGTCGATATTTTCTCAGTCGTGGCTTTGGCGATCCTAAATCACCTTTGACTCCACTTTCTTGCTTATATGTGTGCGCGTTACCTGCGTTGGCACTTCGTTACGTATCGACCCATTAGCATGCAAAATGAATTGTGCTCATCTGTTATGTATGAATGCTTCATACTCACTTCAACATAGCTTTGCATTATCTGCCTTGACTTTTAGGTTATCCTTTAGGTCACTTCTGACTCAAAGTACACCCATAGTTTTTCGGAGCTTCTCAATTGATTCGACTATGATCATCCTCGAATGTGTACATCTGAATATCTTGTGTGCGGTTGCAGAGCATGTGCCTTGTTCCTTCTGGAGGACTAACATTCCTTACCATCACAACTGTTTTGAGTTTCATCACTTAGCGTGAGCGACACAATCCTGATCAGACAGTAATGCTCACTAGCAAAGTTATCGTGCTGTACACTGATCGCTGTGGTGCTAACTGTTAAACCAGACGAGCGGATCCTACATTCATCCAGTGTACCACGACTCCATCAAACCTCGCTTACATGTCTACTGGTAATTACGTGAGCCAGGCCGAGGACTCGGGACTGATTGGGTTTGATGTGATTGGGACGGAACTGTATCACAAACAAGGACGAAGACGTCTGTTTTGAACAACCTCAAACTGAAACTTCTTCGAGTTCCATCGAAGACGCAATTCTAAGGGCTTTCATGTGTCAGGAAAAGTGAACGTGAACTGTGGACCGATGTAAACTCTTGCCCTCATAAATGGCTTCTTGATTCACAAATATCAGATCCTGACCAATACCCTATTTTATTCTAAATCCCGAAGCGCTCAACCAAAACCATTGACGAAAAGTATATCAAATTTTTCTTAATAAGAGGGTTACAACCGGTAAGCGCAAAGGCATCCCTAATTGTTATCTTTTTTCGCAATGGAATGCCTTCCTCGAGGTCCACTGAAGAATGCTCCTGACTTTTAAGCTTTATACTAAGGTGAACTGTTGTTGAGATCATCAGATAGGATAGCTCTGTCTGAACACATTGGCTCATTTTCTGTGTCTAATGCAAGAGGAATTTTATTATGTTGTAACTTATTAACGAACTGTTCAAATGTGAGTTTATCTCTACTATGTTCTATCTGCTTTTTTTATTACCATCGGGCAGATTTGGATTTGACTGAAGGATGACTATTATTTCAATCGCTAAACTGAGCGTACAACTTTGGTTTTGAGTATGGTCCAGCAACTAGTCGTTTTTCGAAGGCAGCTAAGGACGAGATGAAATCGAAGCATTACTCACTGCAATACTCAGCGTGTATCGCATGTACGAGCTGCAGTGAAGGCAAGTGAAGATCAATGAGAATAGAGAACCTCGTAGCACGCGACTCACCTACAAGTTGGGGGCGAGTGAAAAGAAACTATACCCCCTCCCCTAAATCGAATGGGGATTTGTGATGTAGTTGGGTGAACAACCCCATTTGTTGCAACCGAGGGGGTTGCATCGTGTCTGCCTCCCTTTACTAGGCTGACAAAAAGGGGACCCCCCATGAATAACCCAAACAGAGAGTGGTAACAAAGATTCAAGGAGTTGGTTACGCATCTTCGAAATACATTTCAGAAGTTCAAGATATGTTTGTCTGATCTATGATCTGGTTCGCTTGTTTACTGTTTTGGACCGATGGGATACAACCCGTGCCCCTGCGCAATAAGTGTGCTTTGGGGGTATCACTTCCCCTGTCGCATTCGAGTCCGCCTTCAAAACGACGCTCGTGTCCCACGAAGAATTCCGGGCGCGTTCGGTTGCACCGAGTAGCTAAGCACTCGGGACTTAGTTGGTCAAGCGCGGCACAGAAAGGCATCAGGAGTACCGACGCTTCGCTTCCGCGCAACCACCACCGATCACACGTGAGCTGAGGATACTGCGAGGCTCACCCCGTCCCTACTCAGGCTCGAACCTGTGCCGCCAGATTATAAGACAAACTCGTTACCTTTAAACTACGGACTCACTCAGCTACTATGATGGATCATTAGGCTGTCTTGCTATATTTCAGCGAACGCCTTGCGTGGTCGAGCGATTAGTGTTCCAAAGTGCAGACTTCTGAAGAGAGAATAGTGGTACGGTCGGCCCACATTGTGTGATGCCATTTTGTAAGTAAAGCAAACGATCAAATGCGGAAAGGCGTATGATTTCAGATCTTCGAGAAATCCTATATTTTTAATAGTCTGCGAGAGGCTTGCGAATAGCACATGTGGATACTGAAAAATGAGGATCATGAAGACAAAAGAGGGCATTTATTCTGTGTTTCGTCGATAATCCGGGATTGCGACTAAGTGGGCGGGTATTCAACTGGCATAAATCCTTTGGGATTGATTGATGTAACAGGGGTTTCTATGACCAAAAGCCTTTGTAAGCTTACACCTGGAGAGATTAATAAGGTCTACTTTAAGATGGTCCAGAACTTTGTTGTTCACTGGTTACTCTGATCAAGCATGATGTTATTTGTAGTTTCTTACCAAACTCTGTGTGAGACCTGTGTGCAGGTTGCGAATTCCTTGTGTATTTTCAGCTGTGATCTCTTCTCATGGAGGGATAGATCTTTGTGAACGTGCTGTCTGCCAATGGAGAGCGTGATGCTTGAAGAATTTATGCACACAGCAAGTAATACAAACTCTACTAGTGACTTGATTATATCGCTTGGACTACTAACTTTGCTGATGGGCAATTTATGTCCACTTCAATATTGCTAGCGCCTGAGAGGGCTAGTGCAATGTTTTCGTTGTATTCAAGACCGTATGAATATCATAGCTGTCTCAGATTGTATACGAAAACGCTTGATTAACTCATTGACCACAGGGTGACGCGTATAACTTTGTTTAGGGGGAATATGGAGTGGAAGCTCCACGATCACAAAGATTATGTGAGTTATGGTGGAACATCGGTAGCAAAAATATGCAATGGCATCACACGATCGAATAGATGCGGTCCTAGCTTGGGTTGTTCCAATCTGTTGTAGTCACTTCGCGAAGACGGGTTCATCCGATTGAATTAAACGAATGGACTCTGTCTGTCGCTCGAGATGATTGATGGCTTCTTTTCGTTCGGACACAAACCTTGGAGTAACTGCTGGATTTTCTCCGCTAGTTTTTTCTGTCAGCTGAACTCTGACTATTGCTGCTACCTGTTTGTACGTGCAATATTTTGAACCTGTTTACAGGCTGACATGGATATCTAACGGCTTCCAAAGAAGCCCCCAGGCAGGTTAAGCAGAAAATGATCAGATTGGACCTGTTCTTAGATAATATTAAGGAAAATGAATATTAAACAAAATATGGGATTCATCATTTTCGAATTGAGCGGCCAGCAGCAATTCTGTAGTAGAAGTTACGCAGAAGCGCATGTTTTTGAAATGGTATGGGATATCACATAATGTTTGTTGCTGTAATGCAAAACTCAGAGCAACCGAATAAACCCGTCAGGAATATCTACGAAACGTATAGCCTTAATATTCTATTGTAGGAGTTGACTATGTATGTAGACGTCAATTTGTCACCTAAGTGGTGTATTGAATCTTAGCGAACGTTTTGAGTTTGAAATTCACCATTTGTTTTGATATTTATTCGTACCCACACGTTTTGAGCCGGAATTCTCTTTATAATCTTATAGGCCGGAAGCGTTTATACTAACTTAGTAGTAACCATGCAAGGCTGTCGGGTTTTTTCGAATACTCATATCGCTTGATCGGAACGTTCGTTTGATCTCATAACGTGGGACCCACACAGTTGTGTTTCACGTGTGGCGGTGAATGCACAGATCCATCTGTAGCAAACCATTAGCTCTTCTGGACGGACTCTCATTCGTCTGCGGAATTCACAGTATCTCCATGAACTTTTGGTGCTGGATGTTCTTCCACAGTGGATCATACCCTCGCTTACTTAACCGACACTTTTGCCGAGTAGGATAAAAGGAGACAGTGTAGTCTCCCGTTGGATTCTGTCTGCCAACATTATAACTCATCATGTGCTTCCTACTCTCTAAGTAGAGATACGTTAGATTCGCTTTGTTTTCAGGCTGACAGAACAGCCGATTGACCAAGTCAGTACCTATAAGCAGTGGTGATTCCCAGTCATTTTCTAACCTTGACATCACTATCAATTGGAAGCCGCTGCCGGTCAAAGTTGACTGTGAATGTGGCCACCTGTGTATTTTTGGGTCTCTCCTGTTATCTGACATCTGATCTACCCGAAAGATAGGACGATATCCATTGTCTGCTACCTACTTCCGCTAAACCCATGCGTTTTTCTTCTATTGTTCCACCATGCATAGGCTTTTTGAAGCTACTGATCGTTTCAATTGAAAGTATGACTCTGTAGTGGTCCAGAACTTATATATCGCTAACGTTGACTTCCAAGCTAATTTCGCTGGAGCCCAACTCATCCTCTACTGTCATGCGGGCTACCAAAGTTACAGATGACAGGTTGCGCCCGAGAGTCACGGCTTCCGCTAACAGCATCTTTGCACAAACCAATAAAGCAGATGTCAATAAGGCGCACAGTCATTGTTCGCTCTGTCTCACGCCGGTACTTTGGAAACGCGTGATGTCTATTCGCCCTCATATGATGGAGTGACTGCTGTGGAAATTGCCACCGACGAGTTTGTAATCCTTCACTATAGTGGCTGTCATTAGCTCCTACATTTCTTAGTGTTCTCTTTTCGACTGAATAATATTCCCGATAATTTCATTATTCGGCAGGTGTTAATTCCCCTTTTCCCTAATTGACAATCCGAATGAGAGTCATACAACGTAAGATCATCCTGTTCACGAAGCACATCGGACCTATCCTGCGTTTTGACGGTCCTCTCAACCTAGTGCAGAGAGAGTGGTTGTGAGTAGAGCTCAAGCACACTGGAGTTATCCATGTCGCAAAGCGGTCTGAACACGCCTAGTCTATAGTGCAACCGGCGTACGGCTACAGCGAAATTCTATCGATCGACGGGCGCGCGAAGCTATCCACATGAATGGTTGTGGGACATACTAAAATGGCCTAAGCGTGCGATGAAGTTAGTGGGATGGGCCTGCCTCGGCGTCCAAATCCAGGCCATTTTTATCACGTACCCATAGGTTAACAGGCCATTTCCGAAACAGTGACGTCCAGTAAGTGATACCTCCCAGCTAACCACGTGACATAGGCGTGGACGCATAAATTGGGGCTTTACACTGAGTGCAAGGTATCCCAAAGAAATGTATGTACTGCCATCAGCAAAATCGACGGTCGTCTCCCTGATGCTAACCGTTGCTGCTATTCATGTAAAGACGTTTGTTCGCCCAACTACCGAGAGTAACTTGATCAAACATGTATGTTCCTCCAAACACGATCCGGCATTTCGCACTTTTTTCATGACCGAAATCCCATTCGACTCAGCCGACCTGTTGGTTAGAACACATCCTCACCAAATGTGGCAAATATTGCCTGCATCCGATGACGTTCGGACTAGGTCCCCAGTCGACGACAAAACAATCCTTCTACCGCACTGCGCAAAATCCTGTGAATGATCCCTCTTTGTCCCCTGGATTAGTTGCTAGAGGTGGTCTAGTTCATTCAGGTCAGCTAGTTTGAACCCAGGTGAGATGTCACCAAAATGGACTGTCCGTCAACATGCACAATGAACAACCGAGCGATGAGAGTGCTTGTTTGACCTCTCTGGGACCTCACTCTTGAGCGATGAAGGAGCGTTCTCTTCCGCGTACATTTTTGTACTCTACGACTGATGATTGTATGCAACCTTAGCTGTCTTCGCATACCGCGAGCTGAAACTTGTTTTCAAACCGCCATAACTGGCGCCGACGCACGACAACAATCGAGTGTCATCCGATGTATGAATTGAGCCATACTAACGGCGCTTAGGATCAAGTGGCTTCGCGAGCTAGCAGCCATTTATGCCAGAGTTCACATAGTGAATTAATTCCACACTCTCACATGACATATAGTCACATATCGCTTGGTTAACGTTCAAGCAGGCTGGCCAATTACTCCTCTGAGTACCGACAGCAAAGTTTTAATGGTGGATTTTTTCATCGTAACCAGCTTGCTAATGGTCTGTAGGAGCCGAGAGATGGGTATCTGGTAAATGTCAATCATAGTGTCCTGGTAGCCCTCTTACACATGACTGCTCACTCCTGGAGATCTTGTACGGCCTCAGCACTCCTTACTTGCCCTTTCACTCTCTGACTCGGATACTAATGTCCAACAAGCAATCGTACGCTCGTTGTAGATGCATGGACGTACGAAAGAGTTCACCTCAAATCATATTTCCACATGCCATCTCGTCCGGCAACATTTATTCCAAAAAGGTCCTTGATCTTGTGTCGTATTTGACGCTAAGCGGGTTTCCATCTACTTCTTGCTGCTCCATTGAAGAGCCGATAGATGTCCCGTCTACCTGATCTGTGTATATGTCTGTTATAACTGCCTCTTGGTTACGCCACGCTCTGACGATCTGGTATCAACTCTCCTAGTCAACCGAACGAATGTGGCTTGGAACTATTTCACGCACGCCAAACTAACCGACAAACTTCGAAGTTGTACGACCCGTGAGACAAGCGCAACACGGTTGCTACGCGCGAGTGGAACGGACTCCCAGACCGAACGCATTTTCAAACGCGGCTACCCAAACCTGAGAGAACAAGACAAAAAGACAGGCATTTCGCGTAGGAACTTTTACTGGTCAGGCTTAAGGCGATGACAGCGCAGTCCAGCGTTTCTTTTATACCTTGATGGTGCCAATGATTTAAGTAAGCAAACACTGGAAGCAACTGAATTGGCACTGTGCTAATATGCCAACGGAACATGTTGAAAAGTGAATGTTGGTAGATGTGGAGGCTAGACTGGAAAACTGAATGTTTCTTAGGTAACTTAAGGCTGAATGTTTTATGATTGAAGGGAGGTTGGCCGGAAACAGGAATGTTTTCTGAGGTACAAAGGTTAATCGAAACGGGAATGTTTCATGAATTGGAAGGCTGATCGAAACATGTGCACTTGTCTGAATCGAGTCTCATTTCCTTCCGTGGTTTAAGTTTATTATCATTATGGGGACGTTGGGTCCCCATAACAGTGTCTGTGTTGTGCCAGTGTTGAGAGGAGCAACACCCAAATATTTCCATTCCGGAAACGGTCCTAGCGATCGGAATGACCGAGGTTTACTTCAAAGTGAACCGAGGTCTCAATAGAGGTTACGAGTCGCAACCCAACCACAGCGTGTTCTTTAAATTCAACTTTGAAATCTGTGCTAGTTTCATTCTACATATGATTCATTCTGGTGTTGTTTGGTTGGTGGTCCCCAATGACTGCATACTGTTTCATATGTATGTTTACTGCAGGATCGTGATGAACTGGAGTCGATAATGAGTCGATCTATTGCTGGTTTTACTCCAGCCCTTGTGTTTATAAATGCGCACAACCACCCAGTCATCCATTTACTGAAATACATACCATTTGGTTCTGAGAATTCTTTCACTATGTTTTGTTTGTTTCTATTTGGCTATCCTGTCTCCACTTACTCCGTGTGTTTTCAGGGTACCGCATTCAGTCTTCGGGAACGTCAGCTGTTGGGTATCCATGGTCTCCTCCCTCCGGCGATACTCACCATGGACCAACAAGTTGACAAAATGATTGCCAATTTAGTCAAGCTGTCCGATGATCTGCAAAGATATAGCTTTTTAACTTCACTGCAGGATCGAAACGAGAGATTATTTTACAAAGTAAGCCTCAGTTCAACCTCTCTTCGAGCGTCTCATCTTTGTTCAAAGAATGTGATCAAAGACCACTTTTTCAAGTTGACGAGCTTCTTGAATCTCAGGTTGGCCACAGGAGTTAGTCCTCCCCATTCGGTCGCGCTGGGTAATTGGTCATCAAGTTTCCATTTAACTAGGGTAGCGTTACATGTGCTAGCTAAGTTGTTGTATTGGATCCACGAGCTGGTAATGTGTTTCGTCTAACCAGTGACACTGCAAAGTCCGCATCATCGCCCTAAGTGCGTTACGCACTCATACTCGAATGTTCCACGCATTGATGTTTTCATCTACCCAACGGTTGTTTGTCCATGCTAACGGAGCACTGTTACGGTATCTCAAGACTTTACAAGTTATCGAGTGCAACTGAGGTGGGGAACTCACTACTGAGACATAGAGATTGTATGTCCTATCCTACATACCCAATAAATGCCCCGAAAATAAACAGTGGATTTCCAACTTATATGAGGGGTGTTACCAGCGGAACCTAAAGGTCAAGTGTCTGCCAAAAAGCCACCATAGCACCCGTCTGAACCTCGGTTTCAGTCAGCTGCACCTAATTATTTCAACCGAGAAGAAAGTCCGTCACGAAGTGCATTGTTCCGACTGACCGTACGACCAGCCAAATATGTCTCCCTTGATTATGCGGTCCCAGTGATCGGAATGACCGGGATTTACTCCAAAACAGTTAGTGCTTCCAACTGAGATTGCATGTCGTGCGATTCGAACACATGGGGGACATTCTAATTCTACGAATTTAAAATGAATGCCCGTTGTAGGTCATTTCCTTCTAATCAGTACTATTTTTGTCTTTTTCTTTTAATTGCTCCCTGATCGCTCGTGCACCATTTGCTTTCCCGTCCGCACTCTGCCCACTACTTGACTCAACATTCGTTTGACTAGCGAAAAGCTAACGTCCATGTGCCCCTCTCGTATTGTATCATTGTCCATGAATACGTTCTTACTTTTCGTCAATATGAGTGATGCTTTTTGTGATAGACACTTTGAGGCTCCTCCATTTAATTGTAATCATGCTTAACTTCAGTCCCTGAATTTTTGCGAATTTCCAAAAAAACATAACTGTCTGCACAACGTTGACTACACAATTGGTCTCACTCTTTACGCGGGAGTTTTCCAGAGGAGAACAGCTCAGGGGAGATTCGCATCTCTGTTCTCGTGACTCTCAATACTTCGTCCATACAGGCACGATTCGTTTCTACAGCATAGCTAAATCAGCACAAGTGAAGCCGGCTTAGTTCGTAGAAGGTCTCGATAAATCCAATTTGTGCTCTCCCGTAAACAAGGTGTTTTTGGCCGTTTAGATTCTCTTTTGGCTCTGTTCAACAACCGACGAGGAGTATCGTCAATCAGCGCCTAAGTGGACGTTTATGCTTACTGTATTCAATTATCGAATTAAGATTCACCTCCCATCTGTTACTTGAGTCTCCTTTGGTATCCCTGTTCATTCCGACTGAACACGTCCCATTTTAATAGTTGCCATCTGGACATCTTGATCACAAGTGCTCGGCAACAGCTGCAAATTGGATATCACAGTCTCGCCACACAACGAGTGATGCAACTCAATGTCGCGCGAGTTGAATGATCTCCATTTAACACACCAACTTCAGTTTATCCGTTGTCACAGTCACACCCAACTTGACGACGCTACCCTACTGATCGGGTGTTGTACCACCATAAACCCGATTTGCAACTGGGCGCACGCTCAGAACTCAGTAATCATGAGTAGATTGTTTTGATCCCTAGGTCGACTCTTCAGGTCATTGCCGCAGGTTGTTTATAATAAATTGCGTGATCGTCATCTTGTGTCTGCTGCTACTGAACTGACACACCTATCAACATTCCCGATTGGTCCCGTTGCCCAGCATGGAATACCCTACGCAATGTTCCCCGAAATTGTCTGTTGGGACTGGACTTGTTCCGTGAGCCTGCAATTATCTCTAGGTTACTTTGCTTTGTTTGGCTTAGTTGTTTATTCCACGGACGTTCAATGTTCCCGGTTAGAATGTCATCACTACTTTCATCCTCTCTGCTGAGAAAACCCCGTAACGAATCGTCTCTTAGGGGTCCGATTTAAAAGACTCAGAGTCGTCCGATGGCAGCGAACTGTTTTACCACGGATACACTAATGTCATCGCCTTACTTTGCGGATGCTCTTGAACTTGAGAGGCTTGGGCAGATTGACTATCCAATTTGATTTTCTGTAGTATCCGAGCTGAAACTGTGCGTGGCTTCAGTGGCTGTTCACTGAAAACATTAAGGTGCACAAACACTGCATGGTAAATGAGAGCTGTTCAAGTATCCCGATGTGGCTTGAGCCTCCATCTTGAAAACACCGTTAACATAACTGTTCCCTTCTCTAGCCCGCCATGCTGCCGCGAGCATGACTCCTTGGAGCAGGAACCCCACACCCACTGTCCGTGTTTGAATGTCAACACTTTCGTTAACTGATAAGTTTAGCGGGAACATCTTATCGACAGCTGCTACTTGCACCTGCTTATTTCGCCCGCTACAGACATTGTAAGCCATTGATCGCCCTTACTTGACACGGTGGTACCCTACAGTGAGGCCGTCTCTAGCACACGCATTCATTCTGCGCCCTGTGGGAATTTGCATGTAGTGAGCTCACAAAGTCTGGCGGATATCAGACTCCACTTTAGTTGCAAAAAGCGGGGGTTTTCGCCTTGAGCGCTCTGAAGACGGCTGTCTCTGCTCCCAGATTTGAGTGTCGGATAAGATTACCTGCAACTTGAGACACCAATTGATATAGCTCAAGTTGACCATTTTTCAACCTTGATCTACTGAGAACTAAGCTACTTGGTTTTTTTACATCTACATCACTGGAACCCTTCCCTCAGAAGTAGTCGTTTACTTACTACAGCATCGTGCCAGAAGTGCAATCGTACACGTCCTTGTCCAGTGTACTCCAACTCGGTAGCACCAACTTTGAGCCTTGTTTATGATATAGTGTCAATCGATTGAAGCTGTGCCTCTCGCCACTCCCTTCACCACCGACTAGTCTTACCTGCAGGTTTGAAATGCTGGCTACTGAGCCCGCATTTCAATGTCCTGTGGTCTATGGCAACGGGTCAGGTTTTTAACTCTATGCTATTCATTTCGCGATGTGCATCCACTCCGGCATCAAGCAAGTGCACTTCCTTTTACAATCTCACGTTTGTTTGTTTGTTTCTGTTCCCTCAGCTCATCACCGAACACATCGAGTACTGTATGCCCCTGATATACACGCCTACCGTCGGTCTTGCTTGCCAGTACTACGGAACCGTATTCCGAAGACCAAGGTGGGCATCGAATGATATCTCTTCATGGTCCACTCCTTATTCCACCTCATAATGGATACGAATTTTGTCATTGCTGACGCCTATCCCCTTTCTTCTAGTTAGTGACTGCTATCTCCGTTGCATCGGCGAAGCAATGAAAACAGCAGCGTTTTATGCAACCCATTTCGTTTAGTGTGTTAGATTGCATCCTTAGCACATTATCATTTATGTGGGCGTATCATCGGCTGCCCACTTTCAAACCGCCCCCGAATGGAGACAAAGGGCTTTATAGTTGCTCTTTGGATGCAAGCCGTATATCCCGAGCCATATCTCTATTTCAACGTTAGACCAATGATACAGACAGCCATGAATTTAAGTGTTCAGCGCAGCCAACTTTAAACACCACGCTGATGGAGGAGACCGCAATTTGATTTGCAGTTCATAAAGGCTCCCGTCAGGATGCAACTGAATAGTGGTCGAATGCCACCTCGTCGCGATTTTAGACACCTACTGCCAGACCCTCTCCTTTTCGTGTGCACAAAGGGATTCAGATGAACTGTTAACGTAAAGTGTCACTGCACATATAAGCTGGATTATTATCACATTGGTGGCCTACATAGGCGTATTCTCCTCACGAACAGAGGAAAATGTATTCGTTTCACTTGATTGTAAGCCATTAGCTGTTACAGCGCATTTTTTCTATCTGAAAAATACGCTGCACTATACTGTGATCTCTTTTCTTGCGATCTAGTGCTTCAAGTTCCTGGGTTGCAGTCTGATTCTTTCCTTGGATCTATCTGTTCATTTCAACATGTCCATGCCCTCATTAAAATGTGACCCTTTCTTATACTGGCAACCAAAACTTGAGTTGTGTTAAGAGTTAATCTTTTTCTCATCCCTTTGACTGGTCACACCCAAAGACCCGTTTTTTTTCTGCAAGGTCATGAACCCGGTCCTCGCTTTCCACATGCATGCTCAACTGAAGAGCCCAAACTGCCAAAAGTGTGGCTTCTCTAAGTGTCTATGGGCTAGCGACAACTAGGCGACAAGCAAAACTTACCTGTTGCTTATTTTCTATACAGTGCGTCCCGCGCTGTTCACTTTAAGCTCCTTATCGAGGTTTGTATATCACTGTCGCAGAGTAATCACCTGTGTACCATCATTGAGGGACTCAAAATAGAATCGTTTGATTTGTGGGTCTTATTTGCCAATAAGTTGTTTGATTTCATGCTGGGAAAACCACTGACACTCAGATGTTTGGAAGTTGATGACTGCACGCCCGCTACCATGGTTTGAGGCTCCATGCGGTCTTTTGCATCATTTTAAGACATTACTTGGCGCCAGTCGGATGAGTATTCTGACAGTCTCATCCACACTCATTCGCCCATTCCTCTTTGTGTTTTGATCACCAACGCGTGATGACATCGGGCCTGTTTCCGAAGTCATCAAGTGCACTGTTTTATCAAATGGACGGTAAGGTTCCGACGCGAAAAGTATCGCCATCATTTGTGGCTGCAACGCACCAACTAAATAAGATCCTCAAATTTTGACCTTCGCTACCGGCTCCTCAGTTCACTTGCTTATTCAGATGCGTCTTGGACTCGGTATTCCAACCGCTTTCGTTTCTGACATCGTCCTATCCGTTTTTCAGGGCAGCCAGTTTGGTAGTGGGGTGAAACTTCAAATTGACCGCCTTCTACCGTTCTGGGAATGCTGTTCGGATAGCAGATTGGGCATGTCTGTGGGTTGTCCGAGCTAATCTGGATAGGTCAGCGTTGCACCTTCCATGTCTCTAAGTGTTTCTGATACCAGATGCACTCGCGATTCCTTCTGAGCACCGGGACGTATCTTCTTTGCTGCCGTGAGTATCTCTAAGTCGTTTGCAAATTGATCTACATCGAAGGACACTCTATTTTAGCGGTACTTATGGGCAGGGTGCAATCACTCCTTACTATTTTCGTTCCCCCAGCGGAATATCGATCTTCATCCCGACAACAAAAGGCGTAATACCAACCTTTCCATACCTTACAGTGCATCGCGGATGCAATCTACTCTTGACTGAAGGTATTCCGAGTTTTATCACACAATGTTCCACCTGGCTATCCCCTTGGCCTTTTCCTGATGTCATGCGATTGCCATGTTGGCAGCCAGCCTTTCCATAAATATGATGACGGTTTTGAAATCACGCTTCCCGTTAGCCTTATATCATGCAAGTCTAGTGTGTCAACTTGTACTGTCTCACTAGCCAATCGCTGTTTACGTTATCAACATCATTTTCCGAAGTGGTGTTGTCTACCGAGATGATCGGGGCTGAGTTTAGAGGTGATGATCCTCTATAAATACATGGAACCTAATGCCTCACGTTTTCCGTCGCTTGCTTCGCTCCAGCTGCTTTTTGGTACGGTGGATCAACCTGTAAGACACGTTACGTTGTTTACTCTTCTAACTGAGTGCTCAGGTACAACTCTTCCCGAAAGTCCCCAAACCAGGTCATATTCACACATAGTGCCCCTTGAGTTGCATATTTCACCTAGTTCCTTTCGTTTCGCCACAGTGCCATGACACTTTTTGACCGACTTGCTTATTGGACAACTAAACGACGTGTAACCCAAGCACACTGGTATTAAGGTAAATCACTTTGGTGTTTTACACTAGCTTTACTCTCCCTCACCAGTTGTGGCAGTCGGATAACAGGAAGAGCACACACAGTGCAATGGCACTAAACTGCAACGACTAGTGACAATGTTAACTCGGTCAGATGTGACGGGGGAAAAAACAAACCATCGGTTGGTTTGAGTGACGATTATTCACTCACAACAAAGCAGCACTACCAATCCAGTTTAGATACTTCTACGTTGACCGAACATGTTCTTTTGGATGCTGATATCAATGCACTGACTGCATCCCAGAAGCTTTCAAGATAAATCAAATGGTCGCAATCATCGATGCTTTGCTTGCTGTGGATTGTCTGCGGAGTTCTAAGGCCGGTGCGAAGGTTGTTTGTTCCAGAGTCGATTCTCATCACACGGATAGGGATGATCTCTGTTTCTTAGGGTTAGAAGCACAAACTTCATCTACATCGCATCACCTGACGCGAGTAGAACAATACGGTGTCAATCGGTGGCCGAGAGGATGAGGCATCTGCCTTGTAACCCGTTCGAATCTGCGTTTAGGTACGAGCGACCTCAGAGTATTCATAATCCGCATGCGATTGTTGGTAATCTTGTGGGGCAGCGAAGGATCGGTGTATTGCTGATATTGAGACTTAACTGGCACACATTACCACCACCTACAAGTAATGTACATCAATCCTTGATTGCCGGTCTATCTGGAGAGTGCTATCTTTTTTCCTGTCATCTTTTGGTATCTCCACATGCCACTCAATCTCCTGGCTTCAAAATTACTCACTCTTCCTCGGAACCTATGGTTACTCCCAGACAGCACCATTCATCAAAGTTGGTAAATCAGCTGTCACTGACGAACGAGGTCGATGAGTCAGATGCCGGCTTGAATCATGCTCAATGCACGATAAAGAAAACCGTTATGTCCACTTGAACTGAGGCTTCTGACCGATGATCAGACATCCAAACTTTCAGCTGGTTTGATTTGATCATGGACGATGATCCTGTCTCGTTATCATTTGCCTAAAATGGCATTCGGTATTCGAATGCAGTTTCGAGGTTCATAGAAAGTTTGAGGATGGAGGAGATGTTATTGGGACCCAACGTCCCATAAGCTCGCAAACTGAAACTACCTAGGTCGCTGAGACCTGCAGTAGACCAGTGCACATGTTCGATCAGCCTTTACACCCGTGCGACATTCATTTTCCGATCAGCGTTTGTGCTTAAGAAACATTCCTGTTTTCGGCAAACCTCCTTATGAAACAACATTTTTCCGGTCCGGCTTCCGCATCTACCAACACTCACTTTTCGACATGTTCCCTTGGCAGATTCACATAGTGTCGATTCACTTGATTCCGGGGTTTGGTTACGCAAACCAGTCTGCGTGAAAATTTCACCTATTTCACAATCGCAGTATATAAGCAAAGCTGGACCGCGTTGTACTCGCCGTGAGCCTGGCCGAAAGACCTGTCTTATTTCTCGCGGGTTCTGGTGGCCGCGTGTGAAGTTGCGTTCGGTCTTGGAGCCCGTTCAACTTGCGCGTAGCAACCGTGTTGCGCCTAAGTCTCATGGGTCGTACGAACTTCGAATTTCGCCTGTTACTTTGTCCTACGTGGATACAGTTCTAAGTCACATTCGTACGTCCAACTAGGAGATTTGATACCCGATCATCAGAGCGTGACGCAACCAAGATGGAGTTATAACAGGAGACCACCATACTTGGGAGCAACCGAGCACTGCTCTATCCCATCCGACACATGAGTCAGAGAATGCTTCCTTGAATGATGCATTAGCTGAGGAAGAGGGATTGAGAAATGATGACTTAAATCTTGAACCGAACACATAGCAACTTTGCCTACCCCATACGTCGGGTTGGAACCACTAGTAACGTTGGATTTACAGCCCCCCCCCCACAGGCGACGAAATCTTCCACGAAGTGGTTCTGCTGATGCGGAGTAGGACATCCCATACCGGGGAGCTTCCACCATCGGCACTGAAAGACGGTGGCCGCTCATTGTTGACTGGTCTAGCTTGCCAGTTCCCCATCTCCTGGCGCTATGTTGATGCATCTTCCAATTTGCTGTTGTCGGCCGTCTTTACCATGTGCCGTAACAAGAGCCCAGGAAAACTTGTGAGAATCATCGGGGCATCCGTTTTATCTCTCCCCTCAATTTGTCCACATGCGTCGATAGCCCTTCGGTTCTCTTAATATCCGGATCATTAGAATCCAAACTAGAACTCGACACAATAGCGTGAACTCACCATCATTACACATTAACTGAAGGTGAGAAAAACTTTTCGGCTAACTTTTCCGTCATGCATAGGATATATGAGAGAGCTGGATACTAAACATTACAATGAAAAACTAAGACAGCAAGTGATATAATGCCAAGTGTAATA